ATGTTCAGTACAGATAACTCTCTCAATTTTCGACTTTTTTCTCATTCGGGGTTGAATGGTGGGACTAAAGGACCAAGGATCAACGGTGCCCAATCAACTACCATCCGCAGTAGCCGAATCCTCGCTCAGAGAGCCCAATCCGCTGGTAAATATCGAATCACCAGTGACGGCTCGTTCATGGCGTGGTGTTGCATCGTCACTAAATCAAATCAATTATCTGCAAAATGGAGGAAGGTCAAATAACGTGGCGCACCTTCCTTTCGTTGAAGTTCTTCTGTGATGATTTGCTAAGTGGACTGCAGTTGCGCTTCTAGTCCGCCGTAGTCGTGGGTCTACGCGACGAGCGACTGATGGTGACGTTGTTACCGCGAGACTGCTCGAGCGGCACCGTGATGAAGGACTGACAGAGCGTGCATCGCTATCACTTCGAGGTCCTCTCACGATAATCTAGAACCAGAACTCATACGACTGCAGATATCAATGCGAAGGGGAATAAAAAAAGAAATCGAAACTAGTTCTTGAACATTTCCGTCATACTTTCCCATTGATGTTTTGATTTTTTGGTGAACCTCCTCCCTACCCCACTTCCAGATTCGGAGCGAAACGAAATTTGAGGATAAAGGATAAAGTTTGGAGCGTTAATGCATCCCTCGTCAGAGGGATACGCCACGCATTCTACTTCCATTCAGAATCGTAGGGCGTAATGCGTATGCAGCCTATACGATGACTTGCGGTACGCTGCAACGTGGACCTGTTTATTAGGAGGACTGTATTAGGAGACTAGGCGAGATCTAGATCTTTTCAACGTCGGAAATCGAGCCCAGTAACCAGCTCATTCCAAAATTTCCTTTTTTCAATGTTTAAAAGCAAAACTGTTTACAAAAAAGGTACCGGGGAGTAGATAAAAGCAGTTGATTGGCAGGTTCTCGTGAAAACCAAAAGAAGTTTCAAGCTGAACAGCGAAAAATGAAAACAACCTGTGGTGCCGTGGAAGGTGTAGAGCGTCGTTCAGACAGTTCATCATCTTTTTTCAGCCTCTCATCAACCATATAGGAATGATGGTTACTTTCCCATCCAAAACGAGCCAACGCTTCCGCTCCTGAAATTCAACTTTGAAAATTGGAAACCTGCTTTCTCACCAATTTTTAATAATTTTATTGGG